GGATGTTAAAAAGTCCCATGGGACTAGGTCCTAAACAGTCCTACGAAGTCCGGTCCAGTTCAAAGTCCTTTGAATTAATTGAACTATAGGACTGCGGTTCTATAGAAATTAGGACTTGACTGCGGTCCTAAAGCAACAAGAAGAATGATGAGCTCATCGTTCTTCTTGAACGATTATCTTCCTTTAGGACCGCAGTCCTAGGAACGCAAGTCTAATTTCTTTAGAACCTCGGTCCTAGGACTGCAGTCTCGGGGCCTGGTCCTAGAATCCAGACCTAGGACCAAGTCCTATGGACCGGGTTTTTCTTTAGGACTGGGAGTTTCGGACCGGACTAGGACCAGACTGGATTTTAACATCCCTAGTTAGCATTATAAAAAATAAAATTTATTCTATAAATATTAACAAACATTGATGAAAATTAATATTTAATCTGTGAATAATTTACTTAAATTAATGAACCAAAGTGGTAAAATTATCAATATGTTAAAAAAATGAAATTCATTTGTCATTAACGTTAATATTATGAAAATATAAATTACTTCTGATCAGCGCATATTCCCAAGAAACTTCACGTGCCTCGTTTGGCGCAGTATCGTGCATTCATATGATGTGATGATGTAATTATTGATGTGCGACAATAGATTCCTTATATATACCTCCAAATCCACACTTTTCTTTTTTCTGAACTGTACACTTCAGAATGTCTACAAGTACTGCGGTAGAAGACGTGGAAAAATTTAATGCGGACCAACTTGAATCTTTTTACGAGGAAAAGACTTAAAACTTGATGATTTTGACTTTGGAATTCTTCATAGCCAAGATGTTGATGGCTCCGTCTTTGTTGAACGAACTTACGATCAACTTGTCAATCATCCTTTTGGGATTACTGGTGAAAAAGCTACGAAACTCGCAAAGGTGATTAAGGAGATAAATAGTCAAAGTAAGTTATTTAAAATGGTTTATTTGTACGTCTTGCGTATTATTCAACAGATGTCTTTTCAACATAATTATTTTCGTAGTATTTCTATGATTTGCTTGTCTTTTATATAATCATATAATACCGAATACAAACTTATTCTTGTGCTTTTCTTTCCTGCTTCTTATCGTCAAACCCGCCAAAAAACTCGTTCACGTTACCATAGAGCAACCCGTTGCTGGTAAGTGAGTCGTAATAAATTTGGTCAACGCGAGTGAACATGACATGGATTAGCTCTTGTGTCGTTTTTGTCCAGGATTTATTATAGCTAATATGGAGAATGCCTTGCATTGTAGGTTCATCAAGAGAACCAACCGGCCTGGTGCATATCTTTATTGACAATTCCAACGCGGAAATTGAGGGAAAGAAGATGGTCAGTACCTTTAAGAATGTTTTTGAGGATCAGCTCTGTATAGACTACGGACGACTTCTTAGAATAGTTCGGAATGGGCGACAAATGGGCGACAATCCAATCATTGTCGGGTCTCGCCCACCTCCAAATGATTTTTTAGTGGAAAGAAATTGAATATCTTGGATTTCGGGTAGAAGTCTACGATGGAAGTGTTATAGATCATAAAGAGAAAGATGTTGATAGTGAACTAGGGTTTCCGTTTGAAAATAGTATATTCGAATATTTTGTTTGTAAATAAATAAAATTCAAATATTCGAAAATACATAATTAATATTTGATATCGAAATTGATTTCGAATATCGGTTTTCGAATATCTCTATTCGATCGATCTTATCGACCAATTATATATATATATGTATATATATTTTTTTTTCTTCGATCGATTCTTTTTTTTTTATTTTACTTTATTTATTTTTTATTTTCTTTTTTCGTAATTTTTCTTTCTTTTTTTTTGTAATTTGTTATTTTTTTGTCATTTTTAATTTTTTAAATTTTTATTTTATTTTATTTTTATTTTATATATTTTCGAAATGATTTTCGATATTTGAAACCAATTCGATATTCGTTTAAAAAAACTTTCAAATATTTGAAATGCAATTTGTTTTCAAACGGAAACCTTATAGTAAACTCGGAGCTTCCATTTGTGATGCCATGTATGAACATAAAAGACCCGGAAAAATTGTATTAGTTGCTGGTGACGGGGATTACGGTCCTATGTTGAGACGAGCTTTGTTGAGAAACTGGACCGTTGAGATCTGGTTTTGGACTAAAGGTAATGAAATATCGCGACTATGGATTATTAAATTTGCTGTACTCAAAGTGACCTACCCTTTAGGAATGTCTTATCGATATAAATGTACCTCATCGCCCTGATTTACAAACAAAGTTTCTAGATCTTGATCGTTATTATTTAAGTTTTATATATGTTTATGGACGCGATAACACTAGGGAAAAATTGATTTCTCGAGATAGAAGATGTTACTGGAAATTGGAATGTTATGAGTATTTAAATTCGTTCTGTTGATGGTGACACAAATTCCCATACATTTACATGTATTTTGATGATTATGAGCAATGGAAAGAAGCAAAGAATTGGGTGAAGAATAACTATTTCGTCCTAGAATTCAAAAAAAGGTAAGTACTGTTTATTATCATTTCCAAAGCATGCTTGAGTTCTAATTTTTAGACTCTTGGCAAGAAATTTCAAATGATTATATATACAACTATGACTTATGAACAATAGTACTTTTAAAATGTTATTTATATCATCATTGGTTTATTTACAGATGCGCTCCCAAATTAATGTCAAGGCAAATGCCTTTCTAAATAAGTATCATTTCTTGCAATTCGAAAAAAAAAATTATATCGATATCCGTTATTTCTTTCATTTTTACGCGTTTAAAAATAATTATGATAATTTTATATAGACGGAGTCTAAGGCCATTTTCTATTGTCCATTGCTTTATATTGTCCAAAACATATAGTCAATTAAGATAATATTTTGCATGTAAGAGTAGAGTTATTAAAGTTGATGCGATATATTTTATATATATATATTTTTTTTGCCAAAAGATCGTGATTATTACTTTATTATTATATAAAATCTATTTATGACTGCTTAGTGAAATTGGGATCGATAAGATAGAGCAATCTTTCACAGCCACAACATTACTCAGGATGAATTTATTATGTTTTCAGCTCGTAAAAAATGTCTATTGCGCCTCATGTCATATGAGGCTGCCACAATCTCTTAGCCATAGTCATTATGAAGTTTTTGTATCTGTACTCCGTATACATAACAATTAATGCATCGAATAAATAATAAATTTTCTTGATCGATTCTGACTGCACGGGTTTATTGCGCCGAAATTCCCGATTCCTATACAGGTTCAGAAATAAATTTCTTCTGGAGGGAATACTTTCCATTATTCCCACGCCTTTATCTTAGAAAATATTTCGCTAAGACAATCAGATTATATCCCACAGAAACTATGCTTCAAGAGAGGCGTACTGCGCCGGTTTAATCCGCGCAATTTTGACGAGCCCGGACAGCGTGTAAACAGAATTACGTTCACGTGCATTTCAAAACATGTACCTTTGTATATCTGGTGACATAAGCGTATTGCCCTGTACTGTGTTTGATTTGAAATTCGCGGTCAGCAGCCTTGAAATATAATGAGACATGCGTAGAATCGATAAATTAATCACATAAAGTTATTCGAACCTAAAATACATTTGAAATCTATAATTACGCAACAAAGAACAAGCCGAGTCATTTCCTAAAACGCCCTGGATTCGAGTTTTATGTTAGGCAACGACCACAACGCTTCGAGGCAGTATGCTCATATCTCAAATATTGACAGGAAAAGAATGAAATTTTATGAAGATTTATCTCAAAAAAGGAAATCTAATACTTGGCGTTGAAGTTTTATACTTGAATAAATGCAGCTTAAATTCAAAATTTATTAATAAAAGATATTTTTTTAACAAGTATTTTTTTGATAAAGTTAATTAATTTCTCCATATAGAATGATTGATAATAGTTATATATCAAATAAATTTAATAAAATAAAATTATAAAGGGTTTAAAAAAAAAAGGCATTTAAGTAGTATCAATAAAATTAAGGTGATTTCAATCCTAACTTATTACAAACACTACCACACGTATGATTATTCAAGAAACATTTCTCGATTCCCCTCTTCCCAAGATTTGTCCTTCCGAACCTTAAGGAATCGGTACAATGTATCGCTGGATCCGTTAATAAAAAATGATCGGAGAATTCCGCTCCTTGTAGATCACATACCAATAAATATCCACCGGTGAAATCATACGTGAAATGGGCAAACGCTTCAAGGGTGGAATGGAATTCAGTAATTACGCCACTGTTCGCGTTGAACCGCTTAAATTCCGTATTGTTTATTTTCGGTTCTACATTGTAATACCGAGTCCCGTTTGTAATACGCAGAAACTTTACGTGGAGAAATTTAATCTTCTTGTGAATACCGGCCCGCGTGGCGGCTAAATTGAATTTTATGGAAAGGAAATGCGCTATGTTCGAGACTTCTACCGCCTCGAGGTACCTTTCAATCGAGTTTGCTTTTTTACCAGTGTCAATGTATTCTTTTATAACTATCCTTTCAGCTGGTACACCCTTGATGTCAAGACCAAAATATGCGTATCTTTCGGTACCGACGGAGAATGGCTGTGGGGCGATCTTGAAGGAGATTTGTTGAGTAACAGTATTCAATTGATTGAAGTATCCCTTGTTATTGATGTTAGCCAGAGTTTTGGGGACTTTATACCATGCAACCGTACCAGCCTGCTGTCTGATATTATGCCAAATAGGTTCGATCGGGTTGATAACATAATCCTTTCGCCGTAGTTCATATATATTGTTTCCCAACGTACTGGTTAATGAAACAGAAGACGAGATGGCCGAGCAAGTAGCCTGGAAAAATTTTGCAATTAATGCAGTCGGATTTCCTCCCACATCCTCAAGATCAAACACTGGAAACTAGCCAATTATTTCGCGGAATATGCGGAGCATCTTATTGGTACATTGTGTGATCTTTCCGAAAAAGTATAATATATTCGATGATTTCATCTCTCCAAGAACACTTTCTGCAGTTAGACCATACGGATCGCCTTTCGGATAATCATCAAGTTCATCAGTGAAACGATGACCATGCGGTGGGGCATCACCGACGTGGAGAATGACGCGAGTGGTATGGCTCCAGTTCATTTTTTTTATGGCAGCGTTAAGTCCACCTAGGACGTCTTCCGGTGAATCACCACCACCCGTGGCTCGTACATTCCTAACGTAACTTCTGAATGTCTCGTATGAATCAGTGAAATTAAAGGTCTGCAGACGTTTAACGCCGTCGCAGTGGTCGCGGTAGCCGCAGAAACCAACCCAAATTTTAATGCTAGGGTTCGTACGTTCCATGTAGTCCACTACCTGTAATATACAATCTTTTGCAGCGGCAATGTGACTTGACATAGAGCCAGTGCAGTCCAAAACGAAGCAAAGATCTACCTTCATCGAACGTTTAATGTTGTCGAGCGCTGCGGTTATAGCCTTTTCCCGTAAGTGTTTTGTATTAGTCTCTAATCTGTCGCCGGAACTTACGCTCTGATAGCGTTCGTCACCTGCCTCCGCAGCGTAGCGCTCTAGACGTCCTCTGGCGATATTCAGATTGTTCATGTCGGATATTAGTGATGCTGGGATATTGCTGGTCCCTGCTGTGGATGTCCAGCCCGAAGTTTGAGAGCCTGCGGCACGAGGTTTCTTAGACTTTTTTGCGGCGTATTTGCCCATGTCAAGTTCAGTGTCCATATTTCGTTATTTTGTCGTTAATTTTAAAATGATAAATTTACTAGTTGAGAGGTATAAATAAAATGTTGGCTATTTGAAATTAGTTAAAAGAAATAATGAGAAATTTAATAAATGAATAATGTAATCAAATATAAAAGTTTTATTTTAGGGGATTTGGGCTTGGTCACTTTATATATGATAGAATGTTTGACAAGGTTATTTAATTTGGAAACAAAAGCAATTTATAACTTTCATGGTGATCATGTTGTTAGTCGCACACACTGCGGCGAAAATCATGAAAAGTGATAGATTTATAGCATGTTAAACATGTAAAACATATGACACATGTGACACCTGGGTCACTTGTATAACAAATATCGAACAATTTACTTTTTATTACATACATGTATTATTTAGTCTACTTTTCATTACTTACATTATATTATATAGTTTTCATTACATGTATCATTTATTATTATCAAAAAGCGTAGTATAGTACTATTATATAAATAGACCTGTAAGTTGACTTTGAGTCGACAGAGTTTTACTCGGAGATTGAGACAAGTCTGTGTAACTCTACAAATACTATTACACGTTTCAACCTTTCATATAAGGATTTAATAGTGATAACTAACTACACAAGTGAATCATAATAAATCGGTTTGTTTATCGTAATTTCTCTTAGAAAGAGCCATTCGAGATAATTTAAGTTATTTGATTTGATCATCACCTTTTTATTTACATTGTTTATTTTATTGACAGAAAACATTCAATTAGATAGGACGTTATTAGCCGCAGAAATAACTGCGCCTCTGCAGCGTTATCACATATAAGACAAAATGTTCTATTCAACACTTTCAACCTTTTTTCGTGTCTTCATATCAGAAATATCAGAAATTAATCGTATTAAATCTTTACCTTTGGAGGAGTCTGAGAAAGATTTGGGTTTGGTTTGTTAGCTTAGTTTCGGTTCATTCTAGGTCAACACCGGATTAATAATATTGGTATTTATTGAAATCGAACGAAAACGGTCAAAGCCTCAAAAAATGATACATTTTAAAATTTACAGAAACATGCAGATTTCCAGATATGTTCGTATTTTTTTTCATAGAGAATGGTGAGTTTTTTCCCTTCCCGGGAATTCTCATATTGCATAATATACCATCCATTCAAAAAAAGGAAACCCTCCGCCTCAAAGCATTGGCTTATCCGTTCAGCATCTATTGATTCACTCGTCACCAGAGAATCCAGGCCGGTAGGCTCTATTTAATTTGTTTAAGGCGGAATTCATAATAATTAAGAAGCGGTGTGTTGAAACAACATCATCATTCCAATAGTTTGAACATATATGGCGCAGTTTTACTAGTTCAATTGCCAACAGGTTTATTTGAAGGCTAGTTTGTACTATGGTATCTTTAAAAAAACAAATTCCTATTTTAGATATTGGTGCTACTTAATATTTTATCATTTAAAGAATTTTTCGAAAGTGACACGTGAAGAAATCAGCCATAATTAATTATTTTTTTTTTTAAAGAGAAAATTTTTTGATTTAATAATTTGCTAACTCTTCTTTAAAAGGACGCATTTATAGCCTAACTTTTCACAAGCCACATGGTTTGAATTGTCTTAATACGATTAGGAAAGAGTCTCAAAATAGAATGGCATTAATTTTCTTCAGATATGCAAAGATTTTAGACTGGTCGCAATACTTTTTAATAAAAATTAATTGATGCTTTTTTCCAATGGTCATTCTCTGGAATTTATTTATATCTCCTCACATTTTCATTATTAGAATATACAATACATTATTTTTATTTATAGGGTAAAAAGTGCATAAAACCATACATGACACTTTTTTTCCTAATACATACACTTTAACTAAGGTATTTATATATAAATAAAACATGATATTTGAATTTCGCGAATCTCTCAATGAAATTAAACTTTTCAACTTTAATTTGGCTGTCATTCCTATTTCATTCTGGTAAGTTCTAAAAGTTTTGGATGAATCATAGGTTTATCGCCTTTATATAAGTCACGACTACGAATCTCAAGTATTTTGTTTCGAAGTTCATCCACATAAACATTATACCATCTAAGAAAATGAACGATAATGATGTTAGAGGTTTAAAATGTGGTAAGATTTTTAAAGCATATGGGCTAGTCGACTTGTTAGTAGAAATCATTAAATTAAGTACAATTTAAAAAGTCATGGGACAGAAAAAGGTAACACTTTTGCATTTAGCTGTCCATATTATTAAACATACATGATTTCAGGAAACCATTCCTTCCAATTTCTTTGACATGGAAGTAACCAAAATAATTCAATTTCGACTATTATCTAAAAATCAAATAAAAGAGAAAAAACGATTAATTCCAAGAAAATAATCAAACGTAACAAAAATAAAAATGATCATATACGTCGGCCTTTTGAAACAAAAATTCTTTATTACAATATTCTTGCATAGCTTCACTCAATAATCCAATGAATAAATTTAATAGAAATACGACAATAAGTAAAGAAAATGAGATCCATAACATAACAAGCGTTGGGTTTTGATTTAATTCCCACGATTCTATAGATTTGGTGTCACCTAGATATCGCAAAAATTTTTTGTAGAATATTAAGTTCACATCTTGCGATGAATACTTTTTAAACCAAGAAACCTCCTACCAGTCATCAATTGGTACACAGCCAAAGCTGAAGTGTTATAACGTGCGTATAAATTGATATTCATATTGGGTCGTTCAATAATTGAGGGTACCTCACCTTTATCGGAAGTAACGTTACTAAATGTGGAGGCCAAATTCCAAGGATTATTTGGATCATCATCAAAAGAAGGTTGAGAGGGATCAAATTCGTTATTTGGTCGTAATAGTATGTAAAATGCATATCCTTCCGATATGATCGAAGCAGGAGTTAAGTCTGTGTCGTAATAAGTCAAGTTATATTGTTTCTCGAGAGTTCACTTTCCATATCTTAAATTTTCGTTTATGGCTTCAATTGTTAATATAAATAATTCCCACTTCTCCTTGTCAAGTAGCAATTTTCTATCGAGGGGTACCTTTATTATTTCTTCGTCATCTCCCATTCTTACTAATTATGACTTGTAATGAAAATTTACTTTTTGCTTATCCTAATGAAAATATTTCTCAGTCTATATTTATAAAATAAAAATAAAAATTAATATAACTTTTGTGATCCTTACTACGTAACCTTAGCTTTTATAGCGTAAGTTAAACCCATTGAAATTGGACTTATTTAACATGATCAACCAAATTACAATTCTTTAAAACGTAATACAGTAATATGATCAAAAATAAGTTTGCTAATTTTCATATGAGAGTCACGGAGATGAGTCTAAAGTCTGGACTCGTATTCGTGTAACTCGAGTCAATTCGACTCGAATCTTAATTTTTAGTAAGAATTCGAGTAGACTCGAATTAAATTAATTTCGAATCTAGGCTCAATGCTTACTCGAGTTAACTACTTGAATGAACCTCGAGCATTCTAAACTTTATTAAGGTACCATATACTGCAACTTATTTCTTAAGGGTTAACATCTCAAAAAAATTGATTGCGCAGAGTATCTCAAAGTATTTATATTTACATTAATTGAGCAGCGCAATAACTCAAATCTTTGGAGTTTAGAAAATAGATTAATTTAAAAAATAATAATTTTTTTTTTATGTTAATAACAAAAATAAGCTACTCGAGTCAGTTGCTCGAATCATATACTCGAGTTCTGACTCGAATTCTGACTCGGGTACACTTCGAGTCAAAAAAAAATTCTTGACTCTACTTGACTCGAGTTAATTTTTTTTGACTCGAGTCCAATGCCTAGATGGGTCTAACGACTGGCTGAATCGACTTTTTTTCTTGATAATCGTTCGTGTTCATCAATGCGAAAGTAGAATTTGACAGTAAAAATCATATACTACACAATTTTTATTTCATTTTTTCTTGATAAGAATCTAACGAGAATTTTAAATTGCTGTTTGTAGTTAAATTTTTTTTTCGCAAGGCAGAAAAACCTGTTGCATTTTCATTTTAATGATTGGAAAATCTAAAAAAAATTAGACAATTTATTAATTAAGGAAAGTGAAATAGATAATTCGTGATCTTAAAATAATAAAAATAAATCAAATAAAATTTTTGAAGATTTGCATTGTGGCCGTTCTTTGTATATTATTTAACAACTTTTTACTCATTTACGTTTTTATTAACGAAGCAAGAAAAGCAAAAGTGACAGATTTCTATATTGAATTATTATTGTACGGTGAATGGTTTTAAAATCTACTATGTTGTTATTTATTTTATTGATTATTTTTAACAATCGTAAGTATTTTATATTATTAACTAGTTTGCATTTTGGATTGGTTAATGATGTTACAGCCAATTTATAATTGAATCTCATCTATGTTATGAGGATGAAATAATCTCATTCGATTTTCAAGAAAATAAATGTGGAGGCAAAAGTGGAAAATGTATTGCGCTTAATAACGTATCTACGTGAAACAGCTTGATGATGGTATGCGTATCTGATCGTTATTGAACAGACGTCCAGTACTACTTATTATAGTTTAAAGGTAAGCACTACCAGAATTACCAAAGAGGCGCTTCGGTCTCGAAGATTTGAAACAAAGTTTACTCCAGTCTAAGATATAATGCAATTTATGAAAGTGAGTTATCTATTACAAATGTCAATTATGGTTTTAATTTCACGTGATATTTCAGTCTTTGTTTATATTGTAACCAGACCCGGTTTGTATTGCAACCGGTTTAAACTGAATTTAAATCGAATTATACCAAACTGGTTCCAACCTCTACGTGCGACACGTCTTATACTATAAGTAAATTTAAATCAGTAGATAAATGTGTACGCTTTTATTTGTTTTTTTAAATATATTATGAAGGTGATTCCACTTCACCAAAAGGAACGTATTATACAATTGCTTCTCATGAAAATATAAGTCATGCTTCTGTAATAAGAATTAAACGAAGAAACTAAAAAACAGGCTGCTTTGATGTTATTCCAAAATTAGGTCGCCTAACAAACATCATAATTGGAATATTGCCAGGTTTATTAAGTCAGATTAATGTACAAATGCTATTCAAATTCAAAAATCTTTAATTTTCAACGAAAATATTGTTATTTTATCAAATACTATTCAACGCTTATTGAAAAGGCAAGGTCTTATAGCTAGAGTTTAAAAAAAACTATTGCTTCTAAATATATATAGAAAAGCCCGAAAAAATTTGCTCAAAATATAGAATTGGATTGATGAAAAGTAATGTGATCAGATGAGAGTAAATTCTTAATTTTTAGCTCAGATTGGAAAGAGTGGTGATCTTTAATGTGTATAATTAGAATGTAAATAAAATTATTTTCCAATAGGATAATGATCCAAACTATACAACAAAAAACATACAAGTGGTTTGATGACAATAATATTGAAATTTTAAATTGGCCAGCATAATTGCTGAACTTAAATCTCATTGAACATTTGTAAAATAAGTTGATCATTATTTGTGATAGCTTCCTAATAATATTACTAGTATAGAAGATTTGTAGAATAAGATACAATTAGTATAAAATAAAAATTGATATTAATTTTTGTTTAAAGCTAATTGATACTATGTTACAACAAGTTAAAGATGTACTTAAGGCTAATAGGAAAATACAAGATAGTGATAGTTTTGTTAAAAAATTAGAGCATAGTTTATAAAAAAATTTGAAAAATTTATGTATTTGATTTATTCGTTATATGTGTCAGAAGTATTGTATTATAAAATTATAGTTATAAAAGAATTTTTTTTAAAATTATAAATAAGAAATTTAAATTTGAATATATTATAAAAGAAGAATGGCTCTATGAAAAAATTGTATATAAAAATGATATAAAAATGATATATTATTAATATGTTTTTAGTAATTCTGTATTACAATTCTATATATTTAATACTGAATTGATTTTTACATATTTTTTAAAATTAAAGTATATAGAAATTATACAAAATTATTAATTATTTAATTTATTTAATTTGATAATCAATTAAAGTTATACAATTAATATCAATTTTCTAATCTTTTTTTTAGTATCAATTTTCCTTTTTGAATTATTATCTTTTTTTTTTTTTTTTTTTTTTTTTTTTTTAACAAAAAACACTTATTTTAATATAATCTTTAAAAAAAAATCTTATATTTTAAATTTAAATACTTGAACTTGTAAAAATTTATTAAATATATTTTTTTTATTTGTAAATTCTAATTTTTATATTTATTTAATATCTTTTTTATAAACATTAATACAGAGATTTCATGATAAAATTTAAGTATTTTAATCAAAGTCAATCACCTTTTATTTCTAAGTAAAAGTTAATTAGCAGATTCAATATTACTTGCATATAAAATTTTATTAAGATTAGATTAATATTTATTTAATAATACAGTAGTGGCAGAAAATAATAATAATATCATATGACTTAATCAACATTACTTATCATTTTCTTTTTAATAATTATTTTTTATTTTTTTTACATAATTATTTAAATAAATACGTTGTGACGGGTAAAATTTTAGATAGATTTAATTGGTAGAATAGGAAGTCAATTTTATTGCTATGTAGATCTTCTATGAAGATCATTTTATCCATTTTATTGCCGTCGATCAATTATGTAAATCCTTAGATGTCAATTT